GAACACTGTCCTATTGAGGGTCACTATGCCGTGATGGAACGCCACAACCAACAGCAAGCTGGGGAGGAACGGTTTATTAGGCTCACATTGCCATATCATAGCCCACCACTGAAGAAGGTAGAACAGGAACTCACACTGAGGAGCCTGGAGGCAGGAGCTGACACAGGCCATGGAGGGGGCTGCTTACTGGCTTGCTCCCCACGGCTTGCTCAGTCTACTTTCTTAGAGAACCCAGGACACCAGCCCAGGGATGTCCCCACTAACAACGGGCTGGGCCCTCCCACATCCATCACTAATTAAGAAATGCCCCAAGGCAGGGATTTTTAACCTGTGGGTCAGGAACCCCCTGGGGAGCTGACTGACACTTCCACAGGGGTCACCTTAGACCATCCAAGAGAACACAGTTATTTACATTACAATTTTAATAGCAGCAAAACTTATGGAGAAGCAACAAAAATAATTTTATGTTTGGGGTCACTACAACATGAGGAACTGCATTAAAGGATCACAGCGTCAGGAAGGTTGAGGACCCCTGCCCTACAGGCTTGTCAACAGCCCAGTCTTATGAAGGCATTTTCTCAGTCGAGGCTCCCTCTTCTCCAGCGACCAGCTTGTGTCAGGATGACAGAAAACTATACAAACTATTTGGTGTTAGCTAGTGCCATGCAGGAACCCACTTCCACTCCGGGAGGGGGGGGGGCAGTTCAGACTGGATTCATTACAGTCTACAGTCTGTCTCCTTGTTCTTGTGCCTGATTTGAGAGACCCCAAAAGACCACTAGGAGTCGAGTTGTGGCAAATCATATGAGGATGTTTATTCAAGCTCAAGCTCTGGCTGCCAACCTCCCCTGACACAGCAGGTTAGAAAGTAAATGCAGATAGAACACTCATAAAAAATAAATAAATAAATAAAATCTTTAAAAAAAAAAAAAAAAAAAAAGAAAGAAAGTGAGGCCCCGAGTCTCAGGGGGACAGAGTTTTTAAAGGGAAAAAACAGCAAGTGGGGAACTCCAAGCCTTGAGTTACAGGGAAGGGAAAGTTTTGGGTGGGGGTTACAGCAATCAAGATGACCTTTAGGCTAATTCTTCCAAGCCACCTGGCCAAACCGACAGATGTCTAAGATATCTGGACACTAGCCTGCTGGGTGGAGAGGAGGACCCATTAGCACATTCTGTGGCATTCACGACAACCTGCAGAGTGCAGGGCTATGTGGCCCTTCCCAGAACCCAAAGGTGGGGGTCAGGTCACTCCAAGGTAAGGTATAGAGTCTAAGAAACAAGATGGAGCCACCCTTGCCATCCTTAGTTCCTTCATTCCCAGTGGTGTGTACCTGGTTCATGAGCCCAGCCAGCTGTCCTAGAGCTCACTCTGTAGACTAGCCTGGTCTTGAGCACAGTGGTTGTCGAGCCTCTGCGTCCGAGTGCGTGCACCACTGCAGCCTGAGTGGGCATTTTAAACAGGCAGATTCATGGTCGGCGTACTTTAGAACTCTATCCTTGGATCAGGCAGGCTTTGGGAGTGGCACACCTGATTGTTCTTAACGCCTTATGCCACCTGCTTACAGTCAGGGCAGCAGGCAGCTGGAAATTGTTCAGAGTTGTACGGATGAGAGGCCCCAGGGAAGAGCGCTGCTGTGTTGTAACTGCTGGAGAACCGTGCTTCCCCGGGGACAGGGCCACGCCGAATCATAACTGATGGTCCCTACTCTTGCTGGGCTCGGGATGTTCACCAGTAAGCTGGTAAACTGGGCACGTAGTGGGAACACCCCCTTTGTCTTTCTGGTATGAACTCATGTAATTTACCGAGCAGTACTTTTGAAGGCTTAGCATGATCTAAGAAAATGACCTCACCTATTTTCCAACTGGACGGGATAGAGGCTGTCCGCTCTCTGATGTGCAATGTGCAATGTGTTGTTAGCAAATACTGGCCGTTGACATCAACTTAGGCCCAGTGCCTTCCTGAATTCCCACCTCAAGGAAGGGAGGCTGGACTCTGAGTCCATCACGTTATCTGCCGGCCCCCGGCCCCCAAACCCTAACCAAACTCTCCTGTTTCCGGAGTGCCTACTTTCCCCTCCATCACTAACCCATCTCCAGGGCCCTGTGCTGATTCCTCCATGACCCTCCCTGTCCCTCTGTGCCAGCAGCACGGCCTCTTACCTACCCAGTTCTCTCTAGTTGTGCAGCCCAGGTCTCTCCATCTCTAGAGCACACCTCCATTCTCCTGGCTCTCCCTCCCACCCTTCTTGGAACAGCCCGCCTCCTGAGACGAGGCAGTGACCTCTCTTCCAGTGCCGTCTTCGGTCCTAGCCGGCCTTGCCATCCCCGTAGCCCCTCTTTCCCGGAGTCACCTCTCCGCGGTCCTGGCGCCCCCAGCTCCTGCTGGGCCTGCATCCTCCCACCCCGAGCGCATCCTTCCCCTGCGTCCCTCCCTTCCCAGCACGCCCGCCCTCACCCTCGGCCCCCTCCTGCGCGCACGCGCACTCCGCGCCCTCCCGGAGGCTCGCTTCCGGCGGGGGCGGGGCCTGGCCCGGCGCGGGCGCCGGCCATGCTCATCACGCTGTGCTACCTGTACCTGTGGGCGCGCTGGGGGCGCCGGCCGGCCGCGCGGGTGCTGTCCACGGTGCGGCGGCTGCGCGCCTCGCGCTGCTCCTTCACCTTCTGCCGCGCGGCCGCGCAGCCCCGGGGCGCG